ATTTCCGATGTTTAAACCTATCAAATCACGTCCGATTGACCTCAAATTTTGCACACAAGTCATATTCGATATTCCGGACCTACTGCAACTTTCGAAATCGGATTCCGACCCCAATATCAAAAAGTCCACTTCCGGTCAAACTTCTCAATAGCCTTCAAATTTGTATCTTTAGCCAAATGGCTCCAAAATGACCTACGGACCTCCGACTTCATTTCCGATCACGCTCCCAACACCAGAATCACCATACGGAGCTATTCCCGGACTCGTAATCCTAAACGGACATCGATAACACTGAAATGCACTTCAAGCCAAACTTAAGAAATTTCTTCAAAAATGCTAACTTCCACAATAGGCGCCAAAATGCTCCCGGGTTATCCAAAACCCGAACCGGGCATACGCCCAAGTCCGAAATCATCCTACGAACCTGCTGGAACCTTCAGATCCCGATTTCGAGGTCGTTTACTAAAAATTCCAACCCTAGTTCATTCTTTCAATTTTAAGCTTCCGAAATGAGAATTCTCTTTCCAAATCAACTCTGGACTTCCCGAAATTCAATTCCGACCACGCGTACCAGTCACAATACCTGGAATGAAGCTGCTCATGGCCTTAGACTGCTGAATGACGCGCTAGGGCTCAAAACAACCGGTCGGGTCGTTACAGGTAAGAAATAACACAGGATAGAAAGAACAACAACAGCAATAACAGAGACAAACAATCACGGAAAAGAATACAACTCACACAGAGATAACAACCGGGGATCTCCCAGGATACTGATAAGTTAGGATTTTACCATGATTTATACCCCTACTTGCTATTGCTTTTGTACACATTGCTACAAAATAGTCCTAAAATGCTTACAAGTTGTGCTTGATTGCAGGTTTGAGCGACAAGGTGACAAATGTCAAAGATCGGCTCAGAACGGAGTGAAACCTGCTCAAGTGTCAAAGGCCAAGTGAAGTTGAGGAATAGGAAGACCTAGCGCGGACCGAACTGATAAGCCACGCGGCCGCGCTAGGAGATTCTGAGAATGGGAAATTGTTGTTCAGAGACCCACAAGTGCAAGCTAAAAGCCCACGCGGCCGCGCTACATATCAGTGCAGTCTGCGTGGATGAGAATCAGAGAGCTGGTGATTTGGCCAAGTCAAGCCACGCCGCCGCGCTACATTTCTGCGCGGTCCGCGGTCCCCAACTTCAGAGACGATATTTAGGAGTCCAAAGAGCTGATGCGACCGCGCTGACCCCGCAGGGGTATTTTTGTCCATGTTTTTCAGCCACTATAAATAGATCCTTTTTCCATTTTTAGGTCAAGTTTTAGATACGGAAGGCTGCTGAGCTCGTGAGAACATTAGGTTTAGCCACTTTTGGCATTTTTAACTTCTAATTTTGTATTTCTTCCTTAGTAATCAATTATTATGTTTGCTTCTTCATCTATTTCTTTAATTTTTGCATCTAGCATGAGTAGCGAAACTCACTAGCTAGGGTTGTAGCTCAACCCTAGTGTGGGTAATTAATGGGTGATGCAATCTAAGGCTAGATTGATATTGGGTGTTTGCTATTTGGGTTAATTTTAGGTTTTCATTAAGGATTGGTGGTTGCAAACACTGATTCTAGCTTGGTGGGTTTGACTCTTCTTGAGAGAGAGAGAGAGTCTATAAACCCCAAAATTGACCCAACAAGGAATTGGGATGGACCCATGAGAGATGGTAGTCCCAATTAATAGGTTAAACCTCGAGAGAGTAATTACCCTACTTGAACCCTAGTTGCTTGGTCAACATGGCCTACCCAATTGGTCTCGAGAGAGTCAATTGGGCAAAATCACTCTCTCTACCGAGAGGTGTGAGAGTGGGTACAATTGAGCAAAGGTTATAGCATAAGACCCAAATATGTCAATTTACCCTTAGTAGCATCTACCCGTTGATTAGCCACCTAGGTAATGCTACGACCCTAGTGCCTTTCTCTATATTAATTACAACTTAGTAATATCTCCATAGCATAATTTAGCTTTAAATATTAGTCTTAAAGTAGAAGATATAAAAATCAAAAACCGAAAATGTTAGAAGTGATATTAGAAGCACAACCACAATTCTAGACTAAGCAGATAATACAACTCCCTCTCTAGCTCCCTGTGGAAAATCGATCCCGATCCACTATCGGGTAAAAGCTGTTGCGACCCCCTCTTCCTACCTTAGTGTAGTGTTGAGTCGGCATCGATCAAATTTTTGGCGCCGTTGCCGGGGAGCTTACATTGTTGACTATCTGTTTAGCTCGTTTTGTGTTTTGCTTCTCTTTCCTTCTTGTTTACTAATTCTGTTTGTGTCGATCATTCAGGTACTATGGCTCTCAATGCAAATGACGCTCTTGGCAACGTGAATGCGGGGGAGGAGGTAGAGGATCTTGAGCCCGAAGAGGTTCAACCACCTCAAGTTCCACGTAGAGGCCGTCCGTCCAACGCAAATGACAACAATCCTATTCCAGACCCTCCTCCGCCACCACCAAGAGCAGTCCCAAGAGTTCTTCCAAATCAAGGGTACGCGAGTGCCATTGTTCCTCCCCGAATCCGGGCAGGGAACTTTCAAATCACAAATGTCATGTTGACCTTGCTCGAGCAAAGAGGATATTTTACGGGCGCCTCCGATCAAAATGCATACAAGCACTTGAAGGGGTTCGTAGATACTTGCTGGGGCAGCAAACAAACAAACGTGTCAGAGGATGCGTTGAGATTGAGGCTTTTCCCGTTTTCTCTTCGGGGTAAAGCGTTGGACTGGTTAGAAAGGCTTCCAAAT